ACTCTCGACACTGGAGAGGTGGTACTGGTCGAGTGTGTTACTAGTGATGCTCGAGCAGTACCCCTCTGTAAGGTTTCCCTGGAATCTGATTTCCACAAGGGTGTTTGTACAGTCGGAGTCACTTCGTACCCACCTTTCCCTAATGTTGATGTAATATTGGGTAATGATTTAGCAGGAGGTAAGGTAGGGGACTCCAGACTGCCTATTATGTGGCCTACCCCTAAGGTTTCCCTGGATCAACCCGCCGCAGAGGATAATGTTGTGTACCCTGCGTGCGCGGTGACCAGGTCTATGGGACTTAAATGTAAGGGCAGCCCTGTGCTTGCCAAGGTGGTAAATCTCGAGGACACGAGGAACTTTCTGAGTGGTGAAAGCCAAGTGGACCTTGCGGACTCATTCATGGCCCGACTCGATGACATGGCCAAGGACATTGTGGAGAGCCTGCCACCACCGCCTACTGAGAGTAGTGAGGAGGTGGAGAACACTGTTGAGCCTTGGCATATGGCATCTGACCAAGGTCCAGATGCCTCCTTGAGTGTGTTACAGAAAGCTGACCCCAGTCTTGCAGAATGCCATGAGTTAGCCACCTCTAAGGCAGAAATTGTAGACACAGCAACTGGGTACTACTACAATGATCGGATTTTGATGAGAAAATGGAGACCACAGAGTGCTCCCTTGTCAAATGAGTGGGAGGTAGTCCACCAGGTTATGTTGCCAACCTGCTATAGAGAAAGAGTTTTGTCAGCTGCTCATGATGATCCTATGGGGGGACATCAGGGTATTAATATTACTTATCACAAAATCTGCAAGTATTTCTTTTGGACCAAGCTGAAAGCGATGTAGCAAAATTTTGTAATGCATGTATTGTTTGTCAACTTTTTGGGAAACCAAACCAGACTCCACCTAAAGCTCCTTTATGGCCTATTGTTGTGCAGGAGGAACCATTTTCTCATGGGGTAATGGACTGTGTTGGTCCATTACCTAGAACTAAGTCTGGTAATATTTACCTAATCACGATGATTTGTATCATGACCCGTTACCCAGAGGCTTTTGCTATAAGGAACCTCTGAGCAAAGACTGTTGTTGCTCGTATGTTGCAATTTTTTTCCACTTTTGGACTGCCTCGGGTCGTGCAAACTGACAATGGTACTAACTTTAAGTCTGATATTTTTTAACAATTTTGTAAGGACCATGGAATACCTCATAAGGTTTCCAACCCATACCATCCACAGAGTCAGGGGGTAATTGAACGGTTCCATCTAACTCTGAAGCAGATGTTGAAGACATCGTGCGAGAGTTCCCACACCTTCTGGGATAAGAACTTGCCGTATATTTCGTTTGCTGCTAGAGAGGGGTTACAAAGTTCACTGGGTTTTCTCCTTTCGAGTTAGTCTTTGGCCATAAAGTTCGTGGACTCTTGCAAATGTTACAGGAGACTCTGTTAGGGAACATAACGTTAACCGAAGGTTCGGCTTTCTTTGCACAACATCACCAGAGACTCAAGGACTGCAAGGCAGCTGCACTAAAGTATCTTGAGTAGGCCCAAGAAAAGATGAAGAAATGAAACGATGCTAAGGCTAAGTTGCGGGTATTTCAGCCTGGCGACCCTGTCCTGGTATTAGAGCCTCGACAAGGGAACACTATGTCCCACAAGTACGAAGGCCCCTACATTGTGACAGAAAAGACTGGGGACCTCATATACAAAGTGAGGCACTCTGACAAGCGTAACCAGGTAATGCTCGTACACTTGAATCGGCTGAAGAAGTTCCAGGGCCGCAGGCCCATTGCACTAACCAATGTTTCCATTTTCAGTGAGGGAGGGGAATGATTGTTCTGGGGACTCAACTAATCTCATTCTCAATAATTCAAGTTCTGTGAATGCTGTGGAGGAGGGACTGTCCCATTTGCAGATGGCCCAACGTGAAGAGGTGCAGTCGTTACTTTACGAATTCTCCAGTCTGTTCAGGGAGGTCCCGACCCAGACTGATGCCATTTTCCATGATGTCAAGCTGACGGACTACACCCCCATTCGCCTTCAACCCTACCGGATTAGTTCGGAAAAGAAGGCCATCGTATGGAAAGGGGTCGAATTCCTGCTCTAGCATGGCCTTATCTGGCCGAGCCAGGGCTCTTGGTGCTCGCCCTGCCTTTTGGTCCCCAAACCAGACGGCTCCTGGCGATTGTGCACCGACTATCGGCAGCTCGACAAGGTGACCATTGTGGATGCCTACCCGCTGCCCCTCCTCGAGGACTGCATCGACGAGCTGGGAAACGCCAAGTACGTCTCGAAATTCGACCTCTCGAGGTGGTATTATGAAATCCCACTCACTGAACGTGCTAAACAACTAACTGCATTTGTGACTCTCGATGGTGTTTTTGAGTGTCAAGTGTTACCGTTCGGCTTGCGTAATGCCCCTGCCATGTTCCAGAGGCTAGTGAACTCTTTGCTCGCTAATGTGTCAAATTGTCAGGTGTATTTAGATGATATTGTGCTCTTTGATAGTAATTGGGCTGACCACATAGCTAGGTTACGCCAGTTGTTCACAGTTTTGAAAAATGCAAATCTGACCTTAAATGCAAAATAGTGTCATTTTTTCCAAGGCATAGTGACGTACCTCGGTTATGAAGTGGGCCAAGGAAAAGTGTTACCTTGGCAAGATAAAATCAGTGTCAATCTGGAGTATCCCCTGCTTCAGTCTAAAAAGGACATTCAACGGTTTATCGGTATTTGTGCGTACTATCGACGCTTTTGTCAGAACTTTTCCAGTGTTGCCACTCCTCTCACATACTTATTGCAGAAGGCCGTTAAATTTAAGTGGTCATCAGACTGTGCAGAGGCATTTAAAAATTTGAAACTGATCTTAGCTTCCGCCCCAGTGCTCGCTAGTCTAAGGTTCGACCGACCATTTAAAATTCATGTTGACGCGTCTGACTCGGGTGCTGGTGCAGTGTTGTTGCAAACTGGGGATGATCAAGTGGAAAACCCAGTATATTATTACTCTGTGAAATTTGACAAGGCGCAACGCAATTATTCAATGGTAGAAAAAGAGGCGTTGGCGCTAGTGTTTACATGTAAAATGTTTGAAATTTACCTCACAGGTAATATAGAGGAAGTGTACACGGACCATAACCCACTAGTCTTCATGAATCAAATGAAGGGGAAGAATAAACTCATCCTCAGGTGGGCATTGTACCTACAGGACTTCAATCTTTCCATTATCCACCTACCGAGCTGGCTCAACGTGATAGCCGACGCTCTGTCCCGGTTGCCTGAGTAACATTCATCTGGGCTACAGGAAGCCATATACTAACTGTCATGCTTTAGTTATTTTTTTGTGGTAGATTCTCCTGTGACATTAAATATTCCGTGTCCAATTTATTTACTTCCCTTTTTTTATTTTTTATTTTTTTTTTGTGTGTGTATGTGTTTTTTCTTTCAAAGAATTCCTTAGTACTTTTCTTGCAGAGAATTTTTTTATTTTCATTGATTTTCTTTTATGTCATAGATTTTCCTTTTTATTCTCTGTATACTCTTACAAAAAAATATGACTACTATTCTAGTAGTCACATTTTTTTTTCTCTGAAGGAGAGAAGAGTGTTACGACCCTGGGTTCCCCAGTGGAAACCAGAGGTCAAATTGAGCCTAATAAATTACTCTCATTATTTTGTGCGCTTGTCAAGGTTCATTCCTATCTTCCTTGCCAGACATAAAATGAATCTTGTTTCTCACAGACCATTCAGACTTGTGAGCTTGTTGTGGAGTAAGTATAACCATGTAGTAATTATTAACTATTCTTAGAACTATTAAAGTAACCAGTTTTACGTCGAGGAAGAGTGGTAATGTTTACAAGTGGCACGATCAGCTGTTGTCTCCCCGGCAACGGCTGGAGAGAGCTGAGGCTGCTGGCTGCTGCTCGCTCTTTCTGGCTGGCGTTCGAGGTGTCAAGATCTCCTCTGAGCTGCTCTGCACCCCTCTACCTTTTCTCCTCCTCCTTCCTTCCATTACCTTGAATTCCTGTAACCACTAAGTTAAGTAATTTTGTGTATATTTGTGCCTACTCTGGGATTGTAAGATTGGTGTAGACCTAGGGTAGTATTTGCCAGTGTTTTGGGTACCCCTTAGTGTTGTGTTGTGTTAGGGTACCACATGGTCTCACTACCCTAAGCTGCCTCAAGCTTCAGGTTCTTCACTAGTAGTACTTTACCCTAGCTTGTTCTCTTTGTAAAACCTTGTATCCTGCCTATGTGGACCAAGGCTTCTAACGTAAGATAGTGTGGTAAAGTAATTATTGTTATTGATGTAAATGTATATGGGGGGTGGTTAAGGGGTTAATAAATTAGTTAAAGGAGTATCCATTCTTCCGGTGTAGGAGATCTATGATCAACTTCTAGACTGACATTCTTTTGTAGCCAATTAATATTCACTGTTGATATTTTTATTTGGGGGCCGGGCCATACTGATCTCCACTGCTAGAGATACATCTTCATTCTAACTACTGCCCCTTGTAGTACTGGGGCAGTTAAACTGCCTCTCCTCTAAACCTCTGTACTGCCCTCCTTTAAACCACATCTTTATCAGAGCTCTCCTCTACACCCCATATTCATCAGAGCTCTCCTCTACACTACATGTTCATCAGAGCTCTCCTCTACATCACATGTTTACCAGAGCTCTCTTCTACACCACATGTTCACCAGAGCTCTCCTCTACACCACATCATCAGAGCTCTCCTCTACACCCCATATTCATCAGAGCTCTCTTCTACACAACATCTTCATCAGAGCTCTCCTCTAAACCCCATATTCATCAGAGCTCTCCTCTACTCCACATCTTTATCAGAGCTCTCCTCTACACCCCATATTCATCAGAGCTCTCTTCTACACAACATCCTCATCTGAGCTCTTCTCTACAGCACATGTTCATCAGAGCTCTCCTCTACACCCCATATTCACCAAAGCTCTCCTCTACACCACATGTTTACTAGAGCTCTCCTCTACACCACATGTTTACCAAAGCTCTCCTCTACACCACATGTTTACCAAAGCTCTCCTCTACACCACATGTTCACCAGAGCTCTCCTCTACACCACATGTTTACTAGAGCTCTCCTCTACACCCCATATTCACCAGAGCTCTCCTCTACACCACATGTTTACCAGCTCTCTCCTCTACACATCATGGTCATCAGAGCTCTCCTCTACACCACATGTTCATCAGAGCTCTCCTCTACACCACATGTTCACCAGAGCTCTCCTCTACACCACATGTTCATCAGAGCTCTCCTCTACACCCCATATTCACCAGAGCTCTCCTCTACACCACATGTTTACCAGCTCTCTCCTCTACACAACATGGTCATCAGAGCTCTCCTCTACACCACATGTTTACCAGAGCTCTCCTCTACACCACATGTTCATCAGAGCTCTCCTCTACACCACATGTTTACCAGAGCTCTCCTCTACACCACATCTTCATCAGAGCTCTCCTCTACACTACATCTTCATCAGAGCTCTCCTCTACACCACATCTTCATCAGAGCTCTACTCTACACCCCATATTCATCAGAGCTCTCCTCCACACCACATGTTCATCAGAGCTCTCCTCTACACCACATGTTTACCAGAGCTCTCTACACCACATCTTCATCAGAGCTCTCCTCTACACCCCATATTCATCAGAGCTCTCCTCTACACCACATGTTCATCAGAGCTCTCCTCTACACCACATGTTTACCAGCTCTCTCCTCTACACAACATGGTCATCAGAGCTCTCCTCTACACCCCATATTCACCAGCTCTCTCCTGTACACCCCATATTCACCAGCTCTCTCCTCTACACCCCATATTCATCAGAGCTCTCCTCTGCACCACATGTTTACCAGAGCTCTCCTCTACACCTCATGTTCATCAGAGCTCTCCTCTACACCACATGTTTACCAGCTCTCTCCTCTACACAACATGGTCATCAGAGTTCTCCTCTACACCACATGTTCATCAGAGCTCTCCTCTACACCACATCTTTATCAGACCTCTCCTCTACCTCATAAATTTATTAAAGTTTACTAACTGAAATCAATTGAATTGGCCGCTCACTACATAACAATTGTCCCCTTTCATCAACTATTGACTCACTCTTCAATCCTCTGTAAAACGTCTTGCTGGTTATTTATATTTTTGTTAATTTCTAGATTATATTTCCTGTGGAAATATAATCTCCTTAGTTTTTTCATAGGCGTATTAACAGTATTAATTATATATTTTTTTAGGTTTCGGTATTATTCTTGTCTGCAAGTAGCTTGTTTTGTCAAAATGAATATATTAAATATTTTCCAGTGAATATATTCTCCAGATAATGCACCGTGACACAGAGATCAGTGCAGTCACGTCATAGACGAGACGTCTAACGTTCAATTCCCGCGACAGGACGGAAACGTTTGAACAATCGTTTCCTTACACTCAATGTCTTTGATTCACCAAGTAGTACATATGCAGCTAGGAGTCAGAGAACTGTTGTGGGTGTCATCGTGGTGGGAGGAGGGCTACTAGTTGCTTGGTCTTTATAGCTGGTCTTGGCTTGACCTCAATAAGCTTAGTAAACACGCTTTCTGACTACAGGAAGCCTAATGTGTTGTAAAATATATTACATTTAGTAAAAAAAATTACTAGATTTTACTCAGGAGACATAAAGGCAGCAACATCCTCGAGAACTAAGACCATATCACTCCAGCAAATCATTCAAACAATCTTTCTGTATTTATAGGTTCAGTTGTAAATACATGTAGTGAGTTATCACTGACAATATCGCAGCTACATCTCTATTCTTGCTCTTCATTTCCTTGTTTTGAATTCACTCCAAATTTATCTGGTTACCACTAATATCTCGTTCGTTCAAAATGATACAACAACAGTAGGTTGACATACTTTCTATTCTTATTATTACTCACACATAATTGCGATGTTGATATTTTTCCTCGACTTAAGGATTGCTTATTGTACTCATTGCGTCCATCTTTATTTTTATAACTCATTTTATATTTGACACAATCAGGTCACGTTACAGAATTAAATCCATATGCAAGGGATGTGTATATTGACCTCTATCCTTCCATATTCTGATCTTCCTAAATTGTTTTAGGAAGATCAGCTGGTCACTTATATAATGAAACTATCCAGTAATTGTTTTGAGGTTAATGGCATATCTTGTTTTGTGGGAATTCTTCAAGTAAGCTTCTCTTAGACTATTTTTTGTTCTCTGACAAAAGCTGCTGCTTTTTTTGTTTCTAAGAGTTTCGCTCTTGCCAGTGTTTTGTTTTACTCTGTCTCTTTCTTCATTGTGTGTTGATTGTCGTGTGTCTGTGGTGATCGACTTTTCAGGGAATTCAATCAATTCCAGTTTAATTGTTATTCCGGTGATTTTGATTGTTTTGTTTCATCCCTTTTGGTCGCTCTCAGTGTTGGAAGGGATCCAGGAAAAAAATTATTTGTTTTTGTTTTTTAATAATTTTTTTTTAAATAATTTAATTAGCGTTTTGGAAAATTTCTCGTTTGTCAATTTCGGATTTTCCACGTTTATATTGTTGTGAAATTGGAACTATTAGTTAAACTGGTTTAGGCTTGGTACATAGGCCTCGATCTGTATCAGTGAGAGCAGTTTAGATGAGATTATTGCATTGCAATACTATGGCTATTGTTAGTCACCTGCGTCACATGCTGTTTTGAATAGGGTGGTGTAATGGATCACTTGTAATTGCTTAAGATAAGTGAGAGGTCATATCGTGAGAGTTTTTTGCTACTTCCATTGACCGGATTGTTGACTGGAGGTCAGGGGTGTAGCTGAATAGCTTGTTTGTGTTGTAGTGACTATGTTTGGAGGGGGATGGGGAGAGGAAGTGGAAGGAAGGAGAAGTATCAGTAGAAAGCGTCAAGCTATTACGACAATATACCATTTAGAAGGGATGAAGGATTTGGGATGGGACGGGGGGAAAAGGAATGGGGGATGAGGAATGGGGAAAGATATGGGATGGAAAAATATTGATTCTGAATACACTGTATTATTTTTACTAATTAGGTTGATTGATTTGGCTGTCTTCTTTATTTGGGTTGGGTTCTTTGGTTTTCTCTGCTTGCCTTCACTGCTCTTGTATGTTCTCTTTTGCTTTTAGAAATTCTTACGACTGCAGCATATTTTTCTTAATTTCGACCAAAGAATGTGCTGTTATGCCATCTCTAATGGTTGAGGGCCCAAGTCACGAGTCTTGCCTCAGTATTGTAATTAGGCCCCCCCCCATGACAAGATCAATCGTCACAATTCCTTAAAAATAACCAATTTTCACATTTTTCATGTTCAGGGTATTGGTAAATTTTACTACACACTTTTTATTTGCAGGCGAGGCATAGGTTTTCATAGTAGTTATTACATTGCATTCCTTGAATGATAAGATTTAAGTTTATTGATCATTTATTGACCAGGCAGAGGAAATTAATGAATGTTTAATAATCAGCTGAATAAAGTTGCAGTGCAATCTATTATCACTTACTAACATTCATGATTTGCCACATATACAAGAGAGAAGAATATTATGAGAGTTAACAAAGGAGGTACTAAGAGGGTCGGACACGGTGGGGACACACAGAGCAGTATGTCACTCTCCTGATGACCCAGCTAGGTAGTCACACATAGGCAAGCACAGTTCATTAACCGGACACATCCGGGACTCGCTAATGGACGCGTGCTAACGAACTGGTTAGACTAAAATTGGATTTAGTGTTACTGTTTACTCAGAGGATGTATACAAAATCGAATGTCTGTCTGTCTGAGTATTCTTGCTGGTTTGACTGTCAAATATGGAAGGCCAGATTCTAAGGGCTAGCCTTATTAAACGTTGTTGGGTGATTGGTGGGTGTATGATATTACTAAGTTAATGTATTTTTACATTATATTTAACGGGTGTATAAGTAAATAATAAAAAATTGCGGCTAATGGCATTTTTCAGATTGACTAAAGAATTAATCACTCTAATCAGAGTTAAAGAAACATATATCACTAATATCTTGCGAATCATTAATAGTATTTTAACATTTGCGCGTCTGGGGGAGAATATGAAATGTATGAGGATCTAGTTCCCGTGTGTGGTGGCCCTGAGGACCATATTTGTGTATTCATATATTCTTAGTTGTAAAATATAAGAGAAAGTCGAGAAAAAGAACAAGCATATGTAAGTTATTTGTCAGTAAGATATAGATTATATTCTCCAGCCCCAGTGTTTTGGTTCACTCTGTAAGTTGCATACCAGTTTTAATCACGTTGATTTACTGTGTGTGTGTCTGTGTACTCACTTAGTTGTACTTGTGGGGGATGAGCCTTGGCTCTTTGGTCCCACCTCACGAACTGGTTCGTGAGTGTGTGTGTGTGTGTGTGTGTGTGTGTGTGTGTACTCACCTATTTGCGCTTGCGGGGGTTGAGCTTTGCCTCTTTGGTCCCGCCTCTCAACTGTCAATCAACTGGTGTACAGATTCCTGAGCCTACTGGGCTCTATCATATCTATATTTGAAACTGTGTATGGAGTCGGCCTACACCACATCACTGCCTAATGCATTCCATCCGTTAACTACTCTGACACTGAAAAAGTTCCTTCTAACGTCTCTGTGGCTCATGTGGGTACTCAGTTTCCACCTGTGTCCCCTTGTTCGCGTCCCACCAGTGTTGAATAGTTTATCCTTGTTTACCCGGTCGATTCCTCTGAGGCTTTTGTAGGTTGTGATCATGTCTCCCCTTACTCTTCTGTCTTCCAGTGTCGTAAGGTGCATTTCCCGCAGCCTTTCCTCGTATCTTTTGCCTCTTAGTTCTGGGACTAGTCTAGTGGCATACCTTTGGACTTTTTCCAGCTTCGTCTTGTGCTTGACAAGGTACGGGCTCCATGCTGGGGCCGCATACTCCAGGATTGGTCTTACATATGTGGTGTACAAGATTCTGAATGATTCCTTACACAGGTTCCTGAACGCTGTTCTGATGTTAGCCAGCCTCGCATATGCCGCAGACGTTATTCTTTTTATGTGGGCTTCACGAGACAGGTTTGGTGTGATATCAACTCCTAGATCTTTCTCTCTGATCTTTCAACTCCTAGATCTTTCTCTCTGATCTTTCAACTCCTAGATCTTTCTCTCTGATCTTTCAACTCCTAGATCTTTCTCTCTGATCTTTCAACTCCTAGATCTTTCTCATATTGCATTAGATATGTGTGTGTGTGTGTGTGTGTGTGTGTGTGTGTGTGTGTGTGTGTGTGTGTGTGTGTGTGTACTCACCTAGTTGTGTTTGCGGGGGTTGAGCTCTGGCTCTTTGGTCCCGCCTCTCAACCGTCAATCAACAGGTGTACAGATTCATGAGCCTATCGGGCTCTGTCATATCTACACTTGAAACTGTGTATGGAGTCAGCCTCCACCACATCACTTCCTAATGCATTCCATTTGTCAACCACTCTGACACTAAAAAAGTTCTTTCTAATATCTGTGTGTGTGTGTGTGTGTGTGTGTGTGTGTGTGTGTGTGTGTGTGTGTGTGTGTGTGTGTGTGTGTGTGTGTGTGTGTGTGTGTGTGTGTGTGTGTGTGTGTGTGTGTGTGTGTGTGTGTGTGTGTGTGTGTGTGTGTGTGTGTGTGTGTGTGTGTGTGTGTGTGTGTGTGTGTGTGCGCGCGAGCGTGTAATTGGTCAAAATGTAAGGTTAACTTATAATCAACATGGAGACGACTGATAAATATAACATCCGCAATGATAATTTAATGCACCAATCTTCTAATAATTAATGTTGCATGTGTCAATATCATGACAAAGAGTATGAAACCCACCTCAAGAACGCAAAAGGATATCAAAATGATTCAGGTGTACCCTGATAGCAACGGTCTGAAAGAAGGCTACTTGATTTCAACTAAAGTAAATGTAAGGTAACATTCAGGGCGGAGACCACAAGACCAGTATACAATGATTGTTAAAAGTAAAAGTATATCTTAATAGAATATCATCAGGACCACATTCAAAGCTGCCAAACACCTGAGAAGTTCACAAGATTATGAAA